ATTGGCACAGAGTTGCTTGTCGTAGTCTCTTAGGATGCTTTGTATTTCTGCGCTGCCTGTTGTAACTTCTTTTTCATTTCTAATTTTATTGATTTGAGCCCTCACCCTCTTTTTCTTGATGAGTCTGGTTAATGGTTATCAATTTTGTTTATCTTCTCAAAGAACAAGCTTATAGTTTTATTGATCTGTGCTATTGTTTTCTTTGTTTCTATTTCATTTATTTCTGCTCTGATCTTTATGATTTCTTTCCTTCTGCTAACTTTGGGTTTTGTTTGCTCTTCTTTCTCTAGTTCCTTTAGGTGAATGGTTAGATTGTTTATTTGCGATTTTTCTTGTTTCTTGAGGTAGGCTTTTATAGCTATAAACTTCCCTCTTAGAACTGCTTTTTCTGCATCCCATAGGTTTTGGATTGTCGTGTTTTCATTATCATTTGTCTCTAGGTATTTTTTGCTTTCCTCTTTCATTTCTTCAGTGATCTCTTGGTTATTTAGTAACATATTGCTTAGCCTCCATGTGTTTCTGTGTTTTTTGCTTTTTTCCCTGTAATTGATTTCTAACCTCATAGTGTTGTGGTCAGAAAAGATGCTTGATATGATTTTAATTTTCTTAAATTTACTGAGGCTTGATTTGTGACCCAAGGTGTGATCTATCCTGGAGAATGTTCCGTGCGCACTTGAGAAGAAAGTGTAATCTTCTGGTTTTGGGTGGAATGTCCTATAAATATCAATTAAATCTGCCTGGTCTATTGTGTCATTTAAAGCTTGTGTTTCCTTGTTAATTTTCTGTTTGGATGATCTTTCCATTGGTGTAAGTGAGGTGTTAAAGTCCCCACTATTATTCTGTTACTGTTGATTTCCTCTTTTATAGCTGTTAGCCATTGCCTTATGTATTGAGGTGCTCCTATGTTGGGTGCATATATATTTATAATTGTTATATCTTCTTCTTGGATTGATCCCTTGATCACTATGTAGTGTCCTTCCTTGTCTCTTGTAACATTCTTTATTTTAAAGTCTATTTTATCTGATATGAGTATTGCTACTCCAGCTTTCTTTTGATTTCCATTTGCATGGAATATATTTTTCCATCCCCTCACTTTTAGTCTGAATGTGTCCCTAGGTCTGAAGTGGGTCTCTTGTAGACAGCATATAGATGAGTCTTGTATTTGTATCCATTCAGCAAGCCTGTGTCTTTTGGTTGGAGCATTTAATCCATTCACGTTTAAGGTAATTATCGATATGTATGTTTCTATGACCATTTTCTTAATTGTTTGGGGTTTGTTTTTGTAGGTCCTTTTCTTCTCTTGTGTTTCCCACTTAGAGAAGTTCCTTTAGCATTTGTTGTAGAGCTGGTTTGTTTCTGCTGAGTTCTCTTAGCTTTTGATTGTCTGTAAAGCTTTTGATTTCTCTGTCGAATCTGAATGAGATCCTTGCCGGGTAGAGTAATCTTGGTTGTAGGTTCTTCCCTTTCACCACTTTAAGTATATCATGCCACTCCCTTCTGGCTTGTAGAGTTTCTGCTGAGAAGTCAACTGTTAACCTTATGGGAGTTCCCTTGTATGTTATTTGTTGTTTTTCACTTGCTGCTTTCAATAATTTTTCTTTTTTTTAAATTTTTGCCAATTTGATTACTATGTGTCTCGGCATGTTTCTCCTTGGGTTTATCCTGTATGGGACTCTCTGAGCTTCCTGGATTTGGTTGACTATTCCTTTCCCATGTTAGGGAAGTTTTCAACTATAATCTCTTCAAATGTTTTCTTGGGTCCTTTCTCTTTCTCTTCTCCTTCTGGGACCCCTGTAATGTGAATGTTGTTGCGTTTAATGTTGTCCCAGGCGTCTCATAGGCTGTCTTTATTTCTTTTCATTCTTTTTTCTTTATTCTGTTCCACAGCCGTGAATTCCATCATTCTGTCTTCCAGGTCAATTATCCGTTCTTCTGCCTCAGTTATTCTGCTATTGATTCCTTCTAGTGTAGTTTTCATTTCAGTTATTGTATTGTTCATCTCTGTTTATTTGTTCTTTAATTCTTGTAGATCTTTGTTAAACATTTCTTTCATCTTCTAGATCTTTGCCTCCATTCTTTTTCCAACGTCCTGGATCATCTTCACTATCATTATTCTGAATTCTTTTTCTGGAAAGTTGCCTATCTCCACTTCATTTAGTTGTTTTTCTGGGGTTTTATCTTGCTCCTTCATCTGGTACATAGCCCTCTGCCTTTTCATCTTGTCTCTCTTTCTGTGAATGTGGTTTTTGTTCCACAGACTGCAGGATTGTAGTTCTTCTTGCTTCTGCTGTCTGCCCTCTGGTGGATGAGGCTATCTACCTCATCTTTTCTTGTTTTTCTCCGTTTCTCATTTATTGTATGCCTGAAAAAATTAGTTCTTTATTATTTTCTCAGTTTGTGTTTGTCTGGAAATCTCTTTTTTTTTTTCTCCTTTGAGGAATATTTTTGCCTGATATAGAATTCTAGCTTGTCCATTATTTTCTTTCAATGCTTTAAGGATGTCATTTCATCCTTTTCTGTTTTTGTACTTTTTGTTAAATAGTCAAAGACCATTTTAATAGTACTTTTTTGAAAGTAAGCATCTTTTACTCTGCTGCCTTTGAGATTCTCTTTGCCTTCTCAGTAGGTTATTTTGGTTGGACATAGATGTTGGTTTCTTTGTGCATTTTATTCTCCTAGTTGGTAGGACTTCTTGAATCTGTGACTTGATATCTTTCATAGGTTTTGGAAATGTTTGGCTAATGTCTTTTCAAATATTTTTAACATTTTCTCTTTTCACTCTTTCTGTGATTCCATAAAACACATGTTACATCTTTTTCCAGTGTCCCCTGTCTCTTAAAATCAATATTTTCTTTTCTTTTATCTTCTCATTGTTTCAGTTTGGTAATTCTCTGCTGATATATTTTCCAGTTCATGAATCCTCTCTTTAGATGTGTACAATCTGCTTTAAACTTGTATACTGAGTTCTCAATTTCAACTATTATCTTTGCATTTCTAGAATATCCATTTCATATCTTTTTGTAGATTTGAATTGTCTGATGAAAGACTTCATCTTAACATCTATTTCTTGACCATATTAGTCACAATTATTTATTTTTAACTCCTTGTCTGCAAATTCCAATATCTGGATCATCTGTAAGCTATATCTATTTTCTAGATCCATTTCTTGCTATTTCTGTTAATGGTTGATTGAATATCAAATATTTATGTGTGGATAAAATTTTAGGATCTTGAGACAATGATGCCATCTTATTCCAGACAATACTCATCCCATCTTCTGGCTGATAGTGTAGGGAAATTTATTCTCTATTCAGTGAGAGACAAAGCTTTCTCTAAGCTTATTTTCAGAACTTTGTTTGCTCCTGCTCATAGAATGTACCCTGCAGGGTTCTTCACTAGAGTTTGGTGTGTATACCAAGGTCCCCCTTCCTGCCTGGCTCTGATATTCCTGGGAGATGGCCACTGCTCACTGTAGCTTTCCATTCACTTCAAACTGAGCTCCTCATTCTCTCTCTGCACAATCAAGAATAGGCAGATGCCCCCCTGGCAAAGCCAGGGCAGAGTATCAAGCTCATTTCATCATACCTCCCATCTCTCTGGGCTCTGACACGTCAAGTCCTGGCTGTCTTGGCTGACCCACTTTTCTATCCTCAACCCCGTGGGATTTCCAGCAGCTCTTCTGGCTCTGTGTTTGTCGCTGGCCCATCTGTATCTAGTCTCTCAGCTTGCGCTGAAAATCAACAAAGCCCCAAGAGAAAAATGGCACAGAATGTGGAACTCATCTGAATGGGCTTTTACCAGACCCTTAGCCTCTGGAGTACTGCCTGCCTTGAAAATTCTCTGATCCCTTGAAATACTTGCTTTGGGTCTGTTTTCAGAGTTTCTAGTTCTTAGTAGAAGTGCTGGTCTGATATAGGTTACTCTGTCATGGTTGAGAGCAGAAGTTCCGTGAAACAATTTTGAACTCGTTTTAATTTAAATTGCATGTTTTGTAGAACATTCTAAACAATAGTACCATTTGACCTCATTTTCAAAACTATTTTTCAGTGACTATAAAGATCCTGTTAGACTCTTTCTAATCATTCCTGTCATTTGTTTTCTATCTATAGCGTTTCTAGGATGACATCTGACACACAGGCCTTCACTTGAGAACGACTGAATAAAGAAGTATTTTAGCGTGTCAGTTGTATGATTCATTTGCTCTGTTAGCAACTCTGGACCTTTTTATTTATCTCAGAAGCAACTGCTTGGTGCTCAGTCATCCAGGAGGCAAATATGAACACAAGCAGCCCCATTTTCTGACATGATTTGACATTTGGTATTTTAAAAATACCAATGTTTTTATCAAGGAAAAGAAACCAGAGAAGTTTGTTGGGTATCCTAGTTCTTAAGTTTTTATTTTGTTTTGTTTTAATGCATAAGGAGAAGGACACGATAATACTGTCAATGCTTAAAATTTAAAGCATCTCAATCCAATCTTAATAATCCTTAATAACTGAAATTTAAAAGAGAAGAAACTGTTAATTACTTTGGATATACTTTATACATCAGGTCATAAATTCTGAGTCAGTGTCGAGACTCTAGCTTGTTTCTACATTTCCATAAAATATTATCTATCCAACCATCAATGGTTTGTCTCATGGGTGTTTTATTTGCACTTTCTGAAGAAAAAAGAAAAAGAACACTATTTCAATGACTATTATTAACTATTAATGTTTTTTAAAAAACACCTTTTTTGCCTTCTGTCTTTGCAAATCTTAATGGCAAAAAGCTCAGTAACTGGCAGGACATACCCTTTTTCCAAATTCAGGGCAACAGAGATAAATGGCAGGCTGTTTTCTGTGAGCTTTGAACATATTTTCTGACTTGAATATGAATTCTAACTTACTTGCTGCTCTAATGCCTGGGAATTTTAAGGTTATTATGAGAAAGCAACACAATGGTTCCCGTTAATACTGAGAGGTATCAAGATAGTTTTCTTGGTTTTTTATTTTTTTCAGAACCTTGCACATTATCTTTTGATACAATGGAAAGTAATAATTTGCTCCTGAAATGGAGTTTTGACAATAGGCCATATATCTTGCACGGCGAGTATATTGAGTTTCTTTGTAAGAGAGATACTTACATTGAGTTTCCTATTATCGGATCGGAATTGAGAGTGCAATGTGACAGAGGGCAGTTAAAATATCCAAGATGTATTCAAAGAGAAAGGTAAGGAGAGGCTTGTACCTGCAACTATTTTTTTTTCTGTTCAGGTTGTTATTCATGAGATTCATTATGTTATAAATTCCAGAAACATTAGGTTCTACAACAGTCCTACTTTATGGTCATTATAAAGGGGAAAAAAATCACGTTGTCTTTATTTTTTTAAACCAAGCCAACTCCTAGACGTATTAACTAATTCAACAAGCTTTCTGAGTGGTCTAAAGTCAAAGCACTGTTTGCTATTTGATATTTGTGACTCTGGCAATCGGGTAAATAAATCAATTTGAGCAATATTTAAATGTGGAAAAATTAACCTACATGTCCTGAGATAAGAGAAAATCACATTTTCTCCCATTTCTCATTAGAAGTTCGTAATAATGATGGGAAACACAGTTGTACAAACTTGATACTGAGGGAAGAGCATGTCAATAACAAAGATTAAAATTATGGTATTTGTTTTCAGGAACACGGTTCTATATAAGAATTTGGAAGTTATTTCTGAAGTGTTTTCTCATATAGCAATTTTTAAAATATATTTTCTACTACTTGATCAATGGAAAACAATCCTGTTCTTTTCTTAGAGAAATGTTAAAAGAATGCAATAAAATAATGTAATTCATTTTATTGGGTCAGAGTTTTGCCCCCTTTGAAGATACAGTATAAAATGGGAATTATACTCTAGGTTCAACTAAGAACATTTTTAAATGACTTAAAAGTGCATGTGGTACTCTTCTAATGGTTATAAAGAATGAGATGTATGAACTACATAAGGACAGTTTTTTAGATACTTGGAACATTCTAGAAAAAAATTCATAAGACACACACAAGTGGAAAACTTTTTTATTTTTAATTGCAGTGAATATCAGAGTAGAAAAATGTATGTGCTATTTAAATTTTTTATTATATCTTGCATTTCCTATTTCTAAGAGAAAAAGGAATAAGTAACTTAGATAAAAAATTGTAGAAAATGGCGTTAGTGTAGTTAACGACATTGAGTTTTTAAAAAGAAATTGGTGGTATAATTTACCAGGGATGGTTACTTGCTTTTATCAGTACCTCATTAAAACAAGGACCAGTTATATGAAATATTGAAGGGCTAAGACTGTAATAAATACTTGACCAGAAATGATGCTTATTTCAACCCCCACCTTCTCTCTCTTTTTTTCTTATCAAGGATGTTGTCTTATCAAGAACCCTTAAGAACATGAAAATGAATGGCAAAAAGAAGAATAACATTTTTGACACATCATAAAATCCTTTATAAAACATAATTGTTAGAAGAAAAATGTTGAATTAAAAACCTCTGATTTTTTACTTGCATGAAGATTTGAATCTAAACTGTTTACGCTGGACATTTTCTTTATTTATAAATAAAAGCTACACATGCTATTGTTTCACTTCTGGTTTGGATGACTTGACATGTGACCTCTTCTTTGATGCATGTCTTTCATCTATTAAAACATCAATCTGCACATCAAAATATTTCTGGTTCCTAATGCCAGTTCACTGGACTATATTGTCTTCAATATATGTGCAAAAATTCACACGTCTTTAATCGTCTTTGTTAATATCAGGGTTTTCTGTTACTTTGAGTTCAATATTTATTCAAAAGAACCAGCCACACTAGAGCTGAGAAACTATACATCATGTTAGAGGATTTACTTTATTAAATGAGCCGAGACTGCCCTTCAGACTTTTTAAGTGTAAAGAACTTTTAAAATTAACTGTACTGTTAGCTACCATTTGTTAATCATCAAATGGTTTGTGAATTAGTGAACCTTCCACATGTTTAAATGTTGCCCAGAGAACACAGCTATGAAAAAGAACAACCCTTACTATTTTTATATTATACACTGTCAATTTTTTTCTTAGATCGGGTAATTAATGGAATCATGCAGATTCTGAAAAATAAAACCTGAAGTCAGAGAGACCTGCAAGCACCAAAAAAAGGGTGTGTCAGTAATACTAGGACCTGTCAGAGGCCTGACCTGAAATACTGCGTTGTCACTTTTCAGTGTGAAAGAGAGTTACCCAGTTGTTATTACGGCTCATTCATAAGCACTACCTGGTTCTAGTACCCTTGTTAGGACCGGTTGTTGTTCCCAGAACAGCACATTTTTCCTCCCTAGAAGGTCTTCAGTTCTTCTAACGCAAGACCTTATTTTCCCAGTATGATGGCATTCTTCAAACCCCAATGTACAATTCCTGCTCCTGGGCTATGAGAGCTTCTCTGGAAATGAAGCCACACCAGGACTTAGCTCTGTGGATTAAACATGAATTCATTTAATGTTCAAGCATGTATGTTTTAGAACTGTCCTTCCTTGAGTTCATATGCATTATTTCAATTAATCTCCAAGAGTAGTTTTTCACAGTGGATCTCATAAAATTGAAATTTGACTGAAATATCAATAGGAAAGTATTCATCCTCTCCAATTAATTCGACCAGTCCATTAAGAAATGATACTGATCAGGTGTGGTGTCCCAGGAATCATGTTAGGTAACGCAGGATTCAGAGATGAATAAAATTCAGCTCATTATTTCAAGGAACTCACAATAAGGAACTACTTAGTTTAGGAAAAGAGTTAAACTTGTATTATTGGTCATAAAGTCTGATGCCTGGGGGCAGGCACAACACGTGGATGGGTGAAGCAGGTCTAGTGGTATTTCTGGGGAACTGCTCACAGCATGCTCTCTTTAACCTGGGTAGCTTGCTAGCTTCCTGATTTTCGTTTTTAAATGCGGGTTTCTGCATTTTAAAAGTAATTTAGCAATGGTACGTACAGTTTTGTAAGCTGAAAAAAGGTATTAATCTTTTTCCATTAATTAATTCATCAATGAATCCATTTATAAATGATGTTGAGTACCTGCTTTTCCCAGGAAACAGAATTTTCGCTCAAGGAGGATAATTGTCATGGGGGAATATTGTATCTATCCAGTATTGCCATATCTTCTGATTTGTTAATTGTGAAATCTACTGATTTTTATATGGCGGGGTGCCTAAAAAAATCTGTGACTCACATCGTGGCTCATTAGCAGCCAATTTGTAAACTCCAAATGCTAAAGCAATAAAAGTGTGAAAAGTGCAGCGATGGAGCATGTAAAAGGAGTGGCATTGAGGAAGCAGCAATTAACTTTTTTGGTATTAACTGGGCTGTAGGAAGATTCCTGGAAAAAGTTAAGTTTACAAGACTAGGGAAGACATTCCAAGTAGAAGGAATGGCACACACAGAATCAAATACTGAGCACACACTATGTGCCAGGCCTGAGGCTCCACACTGGAGGTAAAGCACTGAATAGGACACGTTGTTTCTGCTGTTAGGAGCTTGTGCTCCAGGTAGATAAGAAAGATATTAAACAAATCATTACAAGATGTGGTGTGTCAGGAAAGATCCTGTCTTAGGCAGCAAAGACCAGGAGGGACAACCTAGGCCTGGATGCCCAAGAAAGGCTCCTCTGAGGAGGTAATACGGAGGCTGAGGTTTGAAAGGAGAAAAGAAAGCATTTCAGGTAGAGGAAAGAACACGTGAAAACAGCAAAGAGCATGGTGTTTCCAAGAAGCTAATAAAAATGCATACTGGATTAAGCGGAAAGGAGGGAAGGAGAGAGTAGAGGAAGGCATTTGTCCGCCAAATTAAAGATGCCGGAAGTCAGTGACTGAAATGAGATGCTTACAGTGTTTTTTTTTTTTAAAAAGAAAAAAGATGGTTCTGAGAAACCTAGGGCCAGGACAGGAGTAAAGATGCAGATGTAGAGAATGGACTTGAGAACACAGGGAGGGGGAAGGGAAAGCTGGGACGAAATGAGAGAGTGGCATGGATATATATACACTACCAAACGTAAAATAGATAGCTAGTGGGAAGCAGTTGCATAGCACAGGGAGGTCAGCTTGGTGCTTTGTGACCACCTGGAGGGGTGGGATAGGGAGGGTGGGAGGGAGGGAGACGCAAGAGGGAAGAGATATGGGGATATGTGTATATGTATAACTGATTCACTTTGTTATAAAGCAGAAACTAAC